TGTCTCGCATGGCCTTCAGGCTTAGCTGAGACTCCGTTCCGGGGAAGTTTTCCCGCTTCAGGTTCCCCGCCTGCACAAGCACCGCCTTGATATTACGGAGGGAAAAGTCATAATGGTCCTGCTTTGACAACTGCTTCTCCATGAGTTCGTACAGGATAGACACCTTCTTTGAGAGAACCTCCGACTCCTCAAACCCCTCAGAGAGTAGTGTAATTTCGCAGATTAACGCAAAGTCCGGCACCATCATAGAAATGGGGCGTAGTAGCGCCTTGAGGTTGTCCGGTAATTCGGAACGACCCGCGTAGCCGGGGTTCATCGTCACAAACAGCCCACAATTCATATTGAGTACGATGTCAGAGCCCTCAAAAATGAAATGACTCTTCCGCTCAGCCACTGCACTAAGAATAGACAAAATCTGCTGGGCCACAACAGAAAGCACCTCCACTTCGATACGGTTAAACTCGTCGAAACATGACCAGGAGCCTGTTTGAGCAATGCCACTCAGCATGCGGCCCACCGACTTGTAGTCTAAACCGTCCGAGCAGTTAAATACCATGACATACTTACCAAGGCCTTTCCCAAGATCCTTCACTGTCTCTGTCTTGCCAGTTCCCGCAGGTCCCTGCGGAAGACCACCGCGATGCAACTGAAGCGCCGTCGTTAGTGTCATGTACGCACGGTCTGTCAGCCCCGTGACAACAAGGCGCCCGCTGTTCCCAAGATACTCATAGTCGTAGCGCACCACTGCAGAAGTCTGTCGCACAATACACACTTTCGGTGCGTCTTGTGGGCGTTCCGCCGTTTCGTCATCCTCCTTGTAGAAACGTAGCTGCCGTGACCACTCAAAGTCTTCCTCCTGATGCACACGATAAGCCAACACGTGTCGGAGAATGTCACGGGAGTGCACCTCAATTGTGATGACCGCGACAAGCTTGTTGCGCTGCATGCGACTTTGTGGCTGACGGACAAGCTGACAGTACTTCTTGATAAGCCCCTTCCATCGCTTGTACACCTTGTAGAGTGGGGAGGCCTTTCGACGCTGTAGACTGAGGCCATTGCTGTGTAACTCGCCATACTCCATGATAGCCAGTTCCGTCAACAATGTCCAATTGATACAGGCGGATGTGATGATTGATTGCCCTTCGTTGCGTTCGACCCATGCCTTTAACTTATCCCTTGAAATGGGCTTCTTGGAGTCAAAGACATTCTTTTGCAGATCGTCCAGTGTGGCGTTGATACGCTTCTGCATCATCTCCCGCATTTTTAACTCCACGCGTCGCAGCCACGTCTCCACCGACACATCCCTCATCTGAACAGGAGGTACAAACGCGACCGACTCGCCCATCGAGGAGGACATGCCCTCAGCAACGACTTTGTTCCGCACTGTCTTGAGCGAC